TGTTGTGAAAGTCAAGCGGTGAGGGCTTGCAGACAACACAGCTTGAGTTCATTGGAAGAAAAGGAAGCTATAAATGTAGCAAAATAAATAAGAAAAATAAACGTCCCTCGAGTGAAGCGGAAGAAGAATAATCAACTTAATCTGGAGGAATGATATAAAGAAATGTGGAATAAGACCATGAACGATGACCTAAGGTGTGAAACCAAGATTAGAAAAGGAAGATTGAACACAGATGATTTTAAAGAAACATGGGATTTATTTTCGGTACATGTGTTTGTGAAAGGGAAAGGTTATCCCCATGAGCAGAGATCATTATAATTCTGGAGATAAATGGGACAGTTACAAAACATGAAGTAAAATAAATATTTAATTTAGTTCTGAGGGTGGTGGGAAGCATGGAGTTGAAAATGTATCTTATATTTGTGTTTCCTTTTTCTTTCTTTTTAGGCTGGTCTGTTAGTTGCATTTTGTTATACTATTCAAAATATTTTTTAATTAACTTAAAAAATAAATAAATGTCCACTATGTTTGGGCAAGTGGGAAGGCTAGGTTAATGTTTCGTATCAAGTTTCTCCCCCAGGAGCCCTGGATTTTAATTTTTTGAAAAACTAACATATATACGAACGAGACACATTCTAATTTAGAAAATCCAATGGGAGAAAGAAGCAAAAGCATGTTTCCTACCTATCTTTTTTAATAGAGAATATGCCAGGGCCAGATCTGAGTGATTATTTTTAAATTTATCTTCTGTGATTGCTAAATAGGAGCATCAATACCATTTTTGATCTTACTATTTGGGGGCCATATTACATCCCGGTTACTCTTTCTAGCTGCCTATCAACAGTTTTGTATTGAGAGAATAAAGTTTGCCACATTGAACAATGGATTAAACCTGCAAAGGGTTTCATTTCTCTCCGCAACTTGAAATGTAAATTGGAGGGGCAAATTGTTAAGGGAAGGTTTGCGAACAAATATATAAATTCGCTACATTCCAGCGAGGAATAAATATTTCCTGGTTAAGCCAAACAACGAACCGTCATGCACTGCCAAACCAGCAGTTCAGGCCGATTTCTAAATGCTTTCTTTCAAAACTTGGCTGAATGTAGTTATTTTATTCATTTGTCAAGCCTGTCTATGTAATCCATCTTTGATGTCTTCTTTTTTTTCATCTGCTTGCAGAGTAACAAATATGACAGAATTAAAGCTTATTCCACAGTAAATTTGTCAGTTCATAAAGTTCCCCAAGATGCTATTATAGTAAATTTCTTAGTTCATAAACTATTTTTGTTATATTTTTAATTAGATTTTCCCCCTGCCCATCTAGACCAATGGTCTACTCTGAGCGGCAGATAAACTACCCCTTGAAAAACTGTTATAACCATTGCTAACAATTTACCAACAGTTGTCTTGATTATAGGGTGCAGCATTATGTTAATTAAGAAGCAAACCTGCTCATTATTTTTTTTAGATGCAGCTCCATTATCCCTATAACTTAAACTAGTTCTGTCAGGTGTCAGTTTTCGTGGGCTGCAGCCCAAGATAAAAGCTGATACCAAATAAAATGTGTTCCTCATGACAGTGCCACAGAATTCTTTGTTCGTTTTTTGGATGCAACAGCCTACTCCTCCAGAAATTAGAAAACTTGTTTTTAAAAAATGATGATAAAGCACCTCATTTTATAAATACAATGCCAAAAACGATGATAAAGCACCTCATTTTATAAATACAATGCCAGTTTCTTCAATCTATTTTCTGTTTTCTTTTTGCAGTCATTTTCATAAGATTCTGAATGAGAAATATATACATTTTTTCCAGTTCAATTTTTGCCTTTTTAAGGGCATTCTTTGTGGTCTGTGCGGCCCTCATGTAAGCAAACATCCAGTACAAGCTGTAAAGAAACAACACAAAAGTCTTAAGTGAAAGTAGCATTGCCTATTCAAACTCCTTGCGCACTCTAGCACGTGCTTTCAACATAAACCGGTCCTGAATTTTCAAAATTCTTTGCACATTCATCCCTTAATCACAAACTTCCATCATTCTTCATTTGCAAATGAATCCTGACCGCCACCCAACTTAATCCAACTTAATGGTTCTGTTAATGTGGCCACACCACTCAACTTGCTGAGTCATGAGCTTCTAATGACTTCTATCCTCCTTGTATAGCTCACTTTAGTTCCACACTCCAGTTTCTGAGGATGTAAACAGAAATATAAGTCACACAACATCAACCTGTTCTCCTGATGACATCCTCTTCAGTCTTATATGTACATGTAATCCACGGCCTACTAGTTTGTACATTGTTATTGTTATGTGCTGGAACCAACATAGAATGATGTGCCTTTTCTAAGTAAGTGAGATATTTATCAGTTCCAAACCCCCTGGTGACTTTCCATGGCTGAGTGAGGATTTGAACCCAGGCCTCTTGCATCCTAGTCCCTCACTCTATCCACTACACCACATTGTCTCTTGTCTTGTTAGGCATCCTTCAGTCTTGAGGGACTATAGTAACGTGCTCCATATGGAGGACTTGGAACAGTGTCTAGTGTGGCTAAGACCAATTCAAGAGTGGGAACCCCTTTCCGTGTTGTTTCAACACTGTGTGTGAAGCTGCAGTATCCTCTCCGGAGCACAAAGCCTGGATAGAATAATATGGAGGATAGGCTGTTACTCAAGCAGCTAATCCCCCCTCTCCATGTCACTGAAATGGTCCAGTGGAAAGGCAAGAGCCAATACAACTGGATCCAGCAACGTCGCAGGAGTTGGCAGAACGACACGAACTGCCTTCGGGACTCCGGCTCCGGATTTTGCCTCTAGGTTAACTCCTGAAGCCTTTTCCATGAGTAGATATAACCACAAGGCAGTGGAGGTTTGAAATAGGACTTTTCCTTCTCCTTGATGGGCTGCCTTCCAAGGCTGGCAAGCCCCACCTACCCAGCACACCACATTAGATCTCTGATTTATACATACTGATGATATGATGTCAGCTGTCAAAACTTTTTCTGAACAGTTCTTTCAGGATGCCAGCCGAGAGAGAATTTCCTTGCAGACGGAAAGCTAGCATGCTAGAAAGGAGGGTTCCTTCTCAGTTGCCCCAGACATGCTCCCTTTCTGTGCGCAAGGAAAATTAGGTATGCAGAAACTCTCTACCTGATAAGTGGGCACAATGGAAGATAAGCTTGACTGTTTGGGTTACTAAAGGGGCTAAAAACCCATCTCCCTTTCCCACCATAGGTCAGCATGATGGGATATGTAGTTCACTGCATCTTGAGGGCACTAGGCTGGGTACGGCTGCTAACACGTGATCTGCATATACGAGTCCTATTGCCACAACCAAAATGGGCCTCTGTTTATTAATGCCATGTTATGTTCCCGTCCCCAGATGTCTTGACAGAAGATGACATTTACTGCCACAGCCTTTCCAAGACGCTGTGCCACACCTCGACGCCAGTCACCGTGGGCTTCTACTCGCCCTGTGGCACTCGCCTCCGTTCGCTCCTGGATCACATTGCAGGTGGGTCTCCAGGCTTTGAGTTGAGAATACGCTGTTTCTTGAACCCAGAGCCTGTTCTCCCTCTAGTGGCAAAAAACGTACCACTTGTGAAAGCTTCAAACGAGTGGGAAACAGCTTCTGTGGCCCGTCTGGTGGAGGAGACCCACAGAACAGAAGAGATCGTGTTGGTGGGGAGAAACCCTTGGCAAAAACTGGAGGAACCGTTTGCCTGAATGTGTGTGTCGAGCTGTGGGCAGGAAGATTCAATGGGGGCAGTGAGCAAGATGGAAAGGCAAATAATTCCAAAGACATGCCCAGTTGCAGCACTGGGGTTGAGTAGAAAACCCCAATGTAAAATTGGGAGAGGGTTTTTTTCCCCCCATTGGTCCCACCGTTTCCCATTCCCACCATGGGCAGATCATTATTCCTGGCATCCCTCTCTATCTACTTGTCCCGCTTACCTCAAACCCTTTTACCTTTCCTCCAGTTTTGTCCTGGAGCACACCTGTGGTTTCCAGCCTCCTGTACACCTTTCTGCAACTGAGCCCTTGAGAGGATTCGATGCACAGGCATCTTTAGATAACCTGAAATGATGATGGGTGAAGAGGATTGGAGCTCTTGAACCCTGGGAAACCAGGATCCTGATCCTCCTGTTTTGGGTTTACCCTCTGCTGATGGTATTTTTTCCCTCTCCGTTTCCATAGCATGCATGCACAAAGAATCCCTTCAACGAGAAGAGAATGAGTACCGAAGGACCCATCAGAGACCCCGGAGACCGGAAGGCTGGAACTATCTCACCCTCTTGTGGTATCTGGTCTTCTACGAGCCCGTCATCACCGAAGTTCACCTCCGAAGAAAGAACATTGAGTTCATTTTCATAAGGTTCAGCGCCTGGCAGTACGCTGGCAGCGATAAGTTGTGGGCTGGGCTGGTGACCACCTTGTGTGACCACATCCGGAGCCATTTTGGCCCTCTGCCTCTCAGCTTCTACCAAGTGGTGGGGAAGAGGCCGCGGTTTGCCTCCGGGTTTAGCCAAAATGAGTGGAGGGCCAAAAAGAAAGTCATCTTCACCACCGGAGCCCTCCTGTTTGTCCTGCTAGCTGGAGTTGGCCTGGTTGCGACAGCGCTCCTGGTGCCTCAGATACGAGACGGCAGTGTCTTGAAAATCCTCGGCAGCACCTTCGCCGCGGCCTCCGGCTCAGGAGCCATAGTGGCCCTGGCTCCGATCATTAAGAACCTGCTCATCAGCGAGAAGAAGAAGATCGAGAGCATGACAAGCGATGAGAAGTTCACCAGCCAACTGGGCTTCATGAGCGCCGTGAAGAAACAGATCGAGACCCTCACCAACTTCATGTATTACATGGAGGTTTTTGAGAGGCAGCGGCTGAGGATCGTCTTTGAGATCACGAGCCTGGACATGTGCTACCCGGAAAGGGTGGTCGGGGTTCTGAACGCCATGAACACACTGCTCTCGGACACCAACGCCCCATTCATCTTCATCCTGGTGGTAGACCCTTGCGTCATCGCCTCTTGCTTAGAGCAAGCCAGCACCATGAAAGGAATGGCCGACAACGGCTATCTCTACCTCAGCCGCACGGTGACCTTGCCGTTCTCCATCCCAGAAATTGGCGTCAGGTCGAAGATGCGTTTTTTGCATGAGGCCTTCCAGACTCGGGAAGACCTGATGTACAGGATCATCACAAAGAACGTGGAGCAGGCCGTCAAGAAGACGAAAGGGAAAGAGTCTCCGTTGGCCGTCATGGAGGCGTCCGCAGAAATGGACCAACACCAGATTGACAGGCAGGCGGTGCAGCACATCCACGAAGCCTTCCACTGTCTCCACAATGAGGACGACTGCCTTTACAAATATGTCCCAGACAACATTATCCAGATGAGGAGAATTGTCAACACCATCCCTATTACCATCCGGCTGATGTCCCAGCAGCATACCCTGAGACACAGCATTTGTCCTCGGTCAGTGGCGGGCTGGGTGGTCTTAGCCAACCAGTGGCCGTGCCGTTTGAGTTGGATCCTGCAGTGCATGGAAGACAGGCTACAGAGCCAACCCATGGGCGAATACGGCCAAGAGCCGATGTGGCAGGTCTTTGTGGATAACTGCAAGGACCTCTTCACGAACCATAAGGACCTTGCGAACATCCTGGCCTTGGATGGTGACCCAGAACTTTTCGAGAAGTACTTGTCTCATGACTTTCCTTTCAGCGTGGAAGAAGGGGAGATGTACCTAAAGCACACGGTCAACTTGGACCACTCCATAAGGCGTCGGATGGGGCAGCTGCGGGCCCTTGCGTCCCTGGAGAAGAATTACGGCAAAGACGCGGCTCAGTCAACAGCAACCACAGCGACCGAAACAGACGACACTGATTTAGACGGAATAGCTTAGGGAGGCGGCTTTCAAATGGCGTCCCAGGGAACTGTGGGATTGATCAGAAGCAACGTCCCAGGGGCAACATGAAAATGGTAGCACCGACAATCTGGTTCAAAGAATGATTTCACTTGTGTTGTCCACGTTATCGCTTGTGCAGAATTCTGTTGGGTGTGTTGCAGGTCAAAGTGGTTCTCAAACTTTGGTCCACCAAATGCTCTGCAGTTCACCACCCAGAAACCTCAGCCAGCATTGCCTCTGTTGAGGGGTTCTGGGAACTGAAGTCCAAAATAAGAACGACTGGGTAGCTTGGTGGCTTAGGCACCTGGCTGCAGAGCCAGAGGTCTTGACTGTGCCTCCTTGACAAAGGCCGGACTTAATGGTTTATAGGATCCCTTCTAACATTGCAGTTCTAAGGTTATTATAACTAGAGGACTAACGTCTGAGAACCACTGCTGTAGAGCATGCTTTCAGCTAAGCTCAAGGTGATGGGGGAGTAGAAGCTAGTGCCCGTGGGAACTGTATAGGCAGCATAAACACAGCTCAGAATTGTTTAGGAAATTTATGAAGATTTAATGGGAAGAACACTATAGGAAGAGGATCTTGAAGCCTGGGACAGTTGGAAAGCCACTTCCTTCTGTTGGTAAATGCACAGTAGTTTGCGCCAAGAAGCTCATTAAGAAAAGACTTAGGGTAGAGTATGTTCATGTGTGATGCTAAATGGCACTTTTCTACCTCTTTTATATGTGTGTATGTGTTTTGTAACTTACAAATACTGTGAATAGCAGAGAGAGGATCTGGAAGAGCAATTCCATGTGCGCTGTAGCAGGGCAGGTTTTGTGTCAGGACCTGAAGGGGGTGTTCTTCTCGGAAGGAAGGCGAGAAAGAAGCCATGGTGGAGATGAAGCAGAGCATGCAGCAACAAGAGCCCAATTTTTCATGTCCCTCCATAGAGCTGTGGATTCCTTCCAGCCCCCACTGAACTCAATAGGAGCCACTGAAAACTTTGCCAGCCTTACTGGCACCAAAGCACCCACCCCCGTGTCATGTTTCTGAATCATGTATCTAGAAACAGAAGGAAAAACTGGAGACTAGCCATTCATAGAAATAAATATGTGCAATAGATCTATGTTTGAAGCAGCATGTGAAGGGAACACAGAGTGTTCTTTGTTTACTGATCTTTCTCAAGAGGAAATAATAAAGGATGCTTCCAAATGCCATTTCCCAGCACATTTTCCATCTGTTCGCCCGAGGAAAGCCTTCTGCACGACAGCTGAATGACAGGTACATTGCATTCACGCCTGGCTTCTGGGATTCCCAAAACTGGATGGCTGAACACCTGTTAAAAGCAAAATAAACGTGGGAAGATAAACCTGCAATCACATTCAACAGGGTTTGTCATGTTAACTTTTAAGCCAAGAAAGTCTTGAGGCTCCAAACCCAAGGAGCGCCATCTCTTTGCTGACACCTCTTAATCATCCCAGGGTCAAAGGATGGCTGTGGATAAGACACTCTGCAGGTGCTCAGAAGAACTCATCCTTGCTCTTCTCATAGGAACGAAACTGTACGGGTCCTGCTGATACCAAAACTGCGGACTAAATCCTGCTGAAGGCAGATGGCATAAAATGGGTGGGGGTTTTATGCCCACTCTTTTAGGAGCAGAGAGGGCGCTTCAGTGCTCCTAACCTAGTTTTGTGTACAGGTAAGAATCCACCACTCTTACCTGTACACAAGAGCTTGAGGAGGCTCTTGAGAGTCCCCTGGACTGCAAGGAGAACAAACCTATCAATTCTGAAGGAAATCAACCCTGAGTGCTCACTGGAAGGACAGATCCTGAAGCTGAGGCTCCAGTACTTTGGCCATCTCATGAGAATAGAAGACTCCCTGGAAAAGACCCTGATGTTGGGAAAGCGTGAAGGCAAGAGGAGAAGGGGACGACGGAGGACGAGATAGTTGGACAGGGTCATCGAAGGCTGAAGGCAGATGGCATAAAATGGGTGGGGGTTTTATGCCCACTCTTTTAGGAGCGGAGAGGGCGCTTCGGTGCTCCTAACCTGCTTTTGGGTACAGGTAAGAGTCCATCACAATCCATGCGCAACGGCACAAACAAGCATGGTCTCTCCAGATGTTCTGGACTTCCAACTTTCCCCAGTGGTGGATGGCTAGTCTTTGTAGAAACTGAAGTCCGAACTGGGAGGGCCTGGCGTGCTCTGGTCCGTGGGGTCACGAAGAGTCGGACACGACTAAACGACTAAGAGTCCACCACACTCCATGCGCAATGGCACAAACAAGCATGGTCTCTCCAGATGTTCTGGACTTCCAACTTTCCCCAGTGGTGGATGGCTAGTCTTTGTAGAAACTGAAGTCCGAACTGCAAGGGCAAATTTAAGAACCACTGGTCTGTGTAACCCAAGGAGAGATCTTAAGGCAGAATAGATCCGGACATGATGATACAGACCAAGAGCAGAAGGTGACTCTTCAAGCACCTGGTGAAGTGAATGTTGGTTTGAAAGCTTATGTGATTTAAATCTGTTCCTTACGACTCTATCAAGTGCTTCTAGGACTGCCTGCAGACCAATTTGTCTCCTGTAATCACAAGGCTCTACGGAGGTAATGAGGTAGCTTGCGCCACCCAGTGGGATCCTGAAGAACTGCACTCCTTTTGCAGGTGTTGAGGTTACATTCCAGAGAAACTCCCTCTCTTTTGCTTGAACGATTATTTTTACCTGTCATCTGGCAAAGACACGCCTGTAATCCCACGCCTGCTGGAGGATTCAGCAACGCAAAAAAAAACACGCCTTTTTCTTTTAAAATGTTCACTTATATTGCACCTCTCTTGCAACTTGGAACACAGGCTAGGATGCATAGGGTACAGCCATGATCTCCCACTTAGGCAGCGCTTAAACACCCACCTACCCCTCTACGATCTGACTCCGTTGGCTCACCCCCGATGACTTCACTCAGTGCCTTGAGAGCAAGCAAGGAAGACTTCCAGGGACCTGTATATAATCTTTACTCTTTCCCAGGCCGGGCAAACAAGAAACGTCAACACAAACTACGAAGCCGCACCTATTTGCTTAATTTATGCAAACACTGCAATCTAGTCGAGTTATTAAGATTTTCTAAAGTTATACAGTCGGCACCGCCTCGGGCACAATCACAACATGCAGTTCTAATTGGTTGCTTTTGTGCCATTGCTTGATGGTTTTAGAAAGCAAAGGAATTTTGGGCAGCTTTTCGCTGTTCTTTAACATAAAGAACAGGGTCCCCCAGCCGATGGTTATAAAGATACCACAGACTTCATTTGGGGGTAAATCCAACAGGTCCTGGTGGAAAGGGACCTTCATCTCAACATTGTGTTGTGCTCCGAGTGCTACTCGTCCCCCTCACAGAGTTGAATGGGTACCACTCACTCTTACATTGGTTTAGGGAGGGAAGAGCATGCTTTTCACACCCAGAAAATGGATAGTTATGGCTAGGCTGAGGCCAAGGATCTAGGAAGTCAAAGGAGATGATAAAAAAATAGACCCAACGTGGTTTTCGATGGTTTCCATTCAGTTCTATAGAACCAATCACTGGCCTGAATGACACGTAAGAAAGATCAGATCCTCCACCTCAGGGTGTAAGTATCTTCAAGCAGGTGTATGATGATGATTATCTTTTTAAGAAGATCTGGGCACTAGGTCCAGTACATGTTTGCCATCCAGGAACAGCTTGAAACGGAATGCTCTACCACTCAGGAATAACTGGTCTGGAAATACAGAGGGAGTGACGTATATGCCTCTGTCAAGAAAACTCTCTATTTCAGCCAAGCATGGCATAAATAAACTCAGTTTATGAATGAACACAAAAATAATTCTCAAAGGTTATTTGAAAAATAAAGCAAATATAGAACTGAGGATGAATCTCTCTACGTAATAAGAAAGGAGTGAATTTTGACCACCCTCAAGTATTGCAAGAAGAAGGACCGGTTGCTGCTTTAAATGAGGAAAGAGCATCCGAGACATTTCGGTGCTCATAAAAACAATCTGTCAATAGGAGGTCTTCCAGTCATCAAGGAAATCACTTTATATTCATCTACCCCCACCATTTAGGAATTTAAGGTAACTTTCAAACACTTAGGAACAAAGTTCCTTCCAGTTTAAGGAGAGGTGAATGCCAACAAAATAATAAACCCCTTTAAACAAGGGTAGGGAGAACACCCACACAAACATAATACATTTGTTTTGAGAACACAGACACAAGTAGAGATTCTATGAGTAAAAATCCATTGATAAAATGGAGTCCCAATGTAATTGGTCACGATTCAATGCCTGGCACCTCCAGTTAAAAGGACCAGATAAGAAAAGAGTACAAATTGGGCCATTTTCTTAATGGCCATGGTTTACTGCCAGCTACCAACTGTTAAGAATGCACGGCTAGGGAATTCTATCATCGGACCGAGCGTGGTTCTTATATCGGGAAAGATTGTTCTCAGCCAGAAAATCTGGAAGGACACATCCAGACAGGCGTAGATGGGCCAATTCTATAACATGCTGTGAAGCAGCTTCCAATGAAATTGAAGAAGTGGTGGAGAGGCACACACCCTCATAAAGCAGCCTCCATGTGAATATCTGAATATCCAGGGATAGTCAGAACCTGTTCCAAAAAATGCTTCACAATAATTAATAAAAATTTCCAAGTTGTTCTCTGAAACCTATGCTCTTCCCTTTCCACCCCCCCCCCTCAAAAGAAATAGCCTTCTAATTTTATAATTTTGAATATTGGAGCAGCCCATGAGCACAGAGTGATAGTTTTCAGGTAAGATGCTGTGCTTCTTTTGCTGCTGAAAATATGCAGACAGACAAGACAGGCCAAAATCAAACCTCCACCCTGAGGAGAGATGTTTCTAAGATTAGCTGCTGGCACAAATCATCACAAGAAGGTTAGGATGGCCTTGTATGAAAAAAAAAGTTTCTCTCTCATATAATGCCAAAACTCAAAAGGAGTTGGGCTGGAGAGTCACTAAGGTGGGAATTTGAGGACAGATGAAAGAGATGTAGAAATTCTGAAAATTCCAATTTAAAAAAAAACATGCTTAGAAGTGCTTTCATGTTGTAATTTCTTACTAGAACAACTCTGGTTTTCTTTAGAGATGAAAAATTTCAGAAAATGTCCAATTTTTCCCTAAGGAAAAAGTTTTTCTGGTTTTCTGTTTTCACAAGACAGCGATTTCAATGGAATGAATTAACATCATCTAGCGAGGCACCGCTGTATCATAAATACAAATAAGAACTCAGCCGGCTCTTGTCTGCTTTTCGATTCCCTACCCCAACCGTTGGCCTTTGTTTTATTCATGTATTTGCTTTGTCTTGGTCTCACAAAAAGAATATGATTCCCTGCTCCGCCCAGCCCACAAAAGAGAGGTAGAGAAGCCACTTGATGAATGCAGCTTTTCATTTAATAGAAGACAGTTTCTCAACAAAAATAAAGCTTCACACAAAAACAAAAATGACAAAGGAAGAAAACAAAATCAAACTGGCGCCGTCTTTTTTCTGTAAATGTAGTGTCAATGCAGCAAAACCCCTTAGGTGTATATACATATATCTACGGTGTGTGCGCACGTGCGTTTCTGGATGCACGTGGACAAAGGTGTGAAAAAAGAGAGAATCATGGACAAGTCGATGAAGGGCACAGAAAGTTTCGTTTCTGCCTCTCCAACCTTAAATTCCATGCAGCAAGTGCCCTCTCAAGCTCCCTGAAAGATTTTATTGCACTTAAGAAATAATAATAATAACAATAATAATAATAAAGTAAAAAGCTTTACGTTCTACATCTACCCAACAGCCAATCCTTCCCTCGTCCATTTTTTTTTTGGGTGGATGGGGAGGTAGTTTCCTCTGCTCTATTGTGGGGGAAGAAAAAGAGGCTTCTTTTCATTCCTGTTTAAGTCACGCAGGAGTACCGTAGATCTTCAGAGAGATTCCACTTTTTTTGGGGGGGGGGAGAGAGAGGCAAGCAGTAGTCAGTCACAGATCTGGGTGAGACCGCTCAGCTCGTTTTCTGCGAGCAGTTTGGGATTGGGGGTTTAGAGATCTGAGGGTGGGGAAAGGGCTCCAATAAACATTAGGGGGGGGATGATTTCAAAGATCCAGAGAGCACCCGTTCTTCCAGCCACCAAAGTTTAAAGGAAAAGGAACGGCGGCTTGCATCAAATCTTACGACCACCTAGGCAGAGATGTTACCGAGGGAAATCTATTGAGTAGGTAGGGTCTCGACCCTCGTCACCTCTGTGGTGAACAAGCTGCTTCCCTGCTTGCAGGGAGAAGTGAGATTTCTGTCTCTGGAACTGCTTGCACCTAGATTTCTCTGCTTTCTGCACAAATGTCTGGCATCTCTGTTCCGCATCCGGCTACGATGCATCATCAGCAACAGGCAGCCGGGGGCCGGGGGGGGGGGGGAAAACTGCAAGCTAGCTTCGTAGGCTCTAATCAAAATACTTGGAGGAATTCTAGCTTGTTGTCACGCGGGAAAGCAGGGCAACTTGGGCAGATGTGGCAAAAAAAACCCCACCCTTCCCTGAGAAACAAAAACAATCCATTTCCCCCAGTCCCTATCTACTTACGTACATTTTGGTTGACCTCTGCAATGCCCCTGATGGTGGCCTCCCTGCCCGAAATCTGGAGCCCTTTCTATAAATGGAACACAGCTTTGAGAAAGGTTCACACTTCAGATGGTGGTATCAAGGCTCAATTCTCTCTCTCTCTCCCCCCCCCCCAATTAAGGAAAGCAAGCTTTGGTTGGAATGGATTCAGTCTTATTCTAAAACAACAGTCAACCTGGGACTCTGAAGGACCCTGGTGGGCAAACGTCATCATCTACCCTTGCGAACATTATCCTTGCAGCTACATATCTCACTTGCTGTTGATATATGTCGACTCGGGAACTGTAGTAAAACCAGCTGCTATACAAAGAGGTGGTTTAGCAAACGGAGATTCTACTATCCACAAATCAGCAGCATCCAAAGGAGGTTCTCAAGTCAGCTTTATCAGGTGGAGTGGAGGGGGGAGGATATAACCAAACGAAACACCCCCTCCTCTCCCACTGCATACATGCAGTGTAAGGTTTACCATCAGTTAAGGAATTTGCTAGAGAACCAGCCGTATATGCATCCTACAGCCACTGTCCAAAAGTTCAGCATGGCATGGCGTGGGGGGGGGGGAATGTCTTCCTTGGAGGTGCACATTTCCAACAAAGATTGAAGGGACTAGAGTAGGCGGGAGGACTGTGGCTGTCTTCTTATGGGTGCCCCCCCTGCCCACCCAGGCAGGAAGGATCCCACCGATGCACATGAAGTCCCTCCTTCTGCTGCATTATTTACTGCGGTCCGCTCCACAGGGACGAGTGTTCATCCTCCCGTCTGCCATCCTTCTTTTTTTTTCTTTTCTTTTTTTGCAAGTGTAAGGTTTCACAGTAGGTGAAGCTCCACAAAACTAAGGGAAAGGAGGCCAACTCGTCCTGAAAGGGCAGTAAGTTTAAAAGGGAAACCGTTCCTATTTCATTATAAATAGACACCAACAGAAGACAAACAAACAAGGAGACACGGCTTTTGGGTGGATCAGGGAGAGGAATGAAATAAAAATAAATAGTAGTCTACGCGGTGGGTTTTAACAGCCTTCATAGTCTTTCCTGACATATCTCGGCATTGGGGCTGCCACATGGTAATGCTTTCAACATCTGGGCCCAGGACAGCTGTGCCCTTCATGAGTAGTGTTCTTGGGAGAAAACCGGCTCTACCGTGGCCGGCCACGCTCCAACTGTGCAGAAAGCGAGAACAGAGGCCCCCCTGTTCAGCTCTCGGACTTCTGTTTGTATATTTTAAAAAAACCTTCCCCAGTTAGACTGGAGAGAGAAGGGGGGGGGGATTCCTGCTCAGTGGTCCAAAGTCTAGAAGATGGTCTCTTCGCCAATCAAACTCGCACGGGTCATCCCAGGAAGAAAGAAAAAACATTGCAAGTTGCCCCTGGCTAGAGTTTTCAGAGAGATAAACCGAAGCCATGAAGGTGTCCGGAGTTCAGCCTGTCCTCAGGTAAGAAAGCTCTTCTGCAGGCCAAGGGCTTCTCCCTTGTTCTGTTTCCTGGAGCATCTCCCTGGCAGAACATCTCTTTTTCAGAGGGAAGACGTCAAGAAGGGTGGGGCGGGCATAACAGGAAATGAAGTTCAAAGGGGGGAGTCACACTTCCTCCGTCTTGCAGAGTCCGTCCTTTACCCCACTCCACCCAAAAAATATTGCATGGGTGCAGGAAGGGAGTAAAGCTAGAGAAGCACTTCCCAAACAGAATCCACTGGATGCAGAATGGTCCGGAACTGAAAGAGAAAGAGGAAAGATTTGGGGAAACATTCAGAGGATCAGAGCTAGAAGGGGAGAAAGAGCCACTATATAATGTATATTTGAGAGACTTATCTGCTTGTTACATATATATTTATCTTTAATCGGCCAGTTGGTAGCAAGCTGATAAGTCTATAGATGATAAGAGTTATCTGCTCGTTACCAACCGACGGATTAAAGAGAAGTTCATCCATCACCAACATCTTAATGCAGTCGAAAGACTGGAATAGGATCATCATCCAAGGTGTGTCTAGGTCAGGACAGATTCCCCCACCTCCTCTTATCCCCCTTCTCACAAAGATACATATCAAACCTCACAGGGAGCTGCCAAATTAGTCTATTAACAGAAAAATAACAATACTACCAACCCTTAAAGGGGAACAAGTGGCCCCACCGAGAGAGGTCAAAAAGGTGACAATGAGGAAACGGGCCTTTTTTGGTGGTGGCCACCCGTCTTTGGAGTCAGGTACCAATTGAGCTACACCGCGTTCCTTCCCCTCCTGGTGTTCAGGACTTTGGTGGAAACAGGATTATACAAAGCGGCCTTCAGTAAGTGATCCCCCCAGATGCTGTTAAATCCAAGGTGTGTCTAGGTCAGGACAGATTCCCCCACCTCCTCTTATCCCCCTTCTCACAAAGATACATATCAAACCTCACAGGGGAGCTGCCAAATTAGTCTGTTAAAGGCGAACAAGTGGCCTTAAAACAAGTGGCCCCACCGAGAGAGGTCAAAAAGGTGACAATGAGGAAACGGGCCTTTTTGGTGGTGGCCACCCGTCTTCGGAATCAGGTACCAACTGAGCTACAGTTCCTTCCCCTCCTGGTGTTCAGGACTTTGGTGGAAACAGGATTATACAAAGCGGCCTTCAGTAAGTGATCCCCCCAGATGCTGTTAATATCAATTTTAAAAAAATTTTCCTTGTTCTTTTTCTTTTTGTATGAATTTCAGATCTATATCTGTGAATTATACTGTTGAAGCCATTCTCATTTTTTGGGGGGGGGGATACTTGTAGGGTGTAAAATAAATAAATGAGTGAATGGGTGGATGGATGGTCAAAGCAGCTTATGAAACTTTCCACTAGACAACACTCTCTAATGTTTAAGGTTAAGAAGCCACTGGCAATGGTGCGGCTAAAAATATTGTAAATAAATAAATAAAATAAATAAGGTGCCCCGATGTCCCCCAAAAATACAAGGGGATTTTAAAAAGAGTTTTTAAAATTACTGGAGCTCAAAATGAGACTTTGAATAAATACATGGCTGGAAAAAAAAGCCAACATGGGTCACCTCATGACCCTAAAATCCCAATGACCGCAAGGAGAACTGGCTTGGGCCTAACCGTTCTTAGGCTCAGGCCTGCTTGAGCGATATTCTTGTGGTGCCCTCATCCAGAGGGCAAAGGGTCCCTGTGCCTTTGTGGGCATATTCTTTCAGCCCAAAGACAGAGAGCAGGATTTCAGAGAAATGTTCAGGGCGTATCCCAGTGACGCATGCAGCCAGAGACGAAAGGGTGGGATCTGAACGACAAGCACGTTCTTGCGTCAAAGCCTTGAAGAGGAGCCTGTTAGGCCTTTCAAAATTTTAACAGGTCTGTACACAAGCTGGAAAGCTACCCAGCCACAGCAGAATGAGAAAGGGGGTTGGGGTGGCCTTCTGGTGAACCCCCCCCCCCCGAGGGCTGGATTCTCTTCCAGGGCCTGAAGTTCCCCACCCCTAGCTTTAAGGACTACATGACCCATTCAAGGAGCTCTTCTTTCAGCTTCTCCAGAGACGCAGCCCCCTTACCTCCTTACATTGGCTCCTGCCCCATCTCTAGACTGGCTTCCAAAAGTAATTCCTCCAACTCCTTCTCGTTTTTGGAACAGTTTAGCTCTGAAAGACAAGAGTGGAGAGTTCTGGATCAGTCCGGCAAAGACAACACTTTCGATCCATCCCAGTTGGTCACTGGCTGAAGCTTACAGGACTTGCAGCCCAATGAACCTGAACCGGTTATCTCCATCTGGTGTCGACACTGTCCTCGTGAGGCATACAAGAAGACTGAGGGAGACAGGACTAGACACTTTTCAAATACTTAAAAGGAAGTCATAGAGAGTCCTTGATTGTCCCAGAATGCAAGACATATCATAATGGGCTCAAGCTACAGGAAGACAGATTTTAGCTGAATATATGGAAAAAACTTTTTAACGGTTAGAGCAGTACAACAATGGAACCCAATGACCTCAGGAGGTGGTGAGCATTGGGCCAAAGATCTGCTTTGATTTGGGATCCCTGCCTTGAGCAGGGGGTTGGACTAGACAGCCTTAAGAGGTCCCCTTCCAACTCCATGATTCTAGGATTCTAAATAAGAGCACCTGAACTCTCGTCTTGAATTCCACAACTGGCCAAAACTATCCCATCTGCGTAGGGTGTGGTGGGACGTCGTTCTTCAAAAATACGCTCGCACGGTTGGTAGTCGCTTCCCCTGCAATGCGAAACTTCTCCCTCTTTCTTACCGTGTTCTACGGCACAACTGGAAATTTTCCCATCACGCCCCAAAGCCACGTCGGGTAGCGCGTGAGCAAACTCTGTCTTGAGTCCATTAGGCAACAACAGAGCGTGGGGAGTCGCGCCCTCGCACGGCCCAGAGCCCACCTTTTCCACCTCCAAATCGGAGCTTGGCGTGGAGGGAGTCGGTTTGGAGTTCGCCGTGGACTCCGAAGCGGGCCCCTCCGTTTCGCCACCTGAGTGTGAATTTTTTGCGGGCTGAGGCTGGGCCAAAGAGTTCGCCTTCTTTGGAGGCACCGTCGTCGGAGGGAGAGGACTCGGCTGCTGTACGCCGCTCCCGCCCTCCTTCTCCGGCAGGCTCTCCACCCGCGTCACGACGAAGATCTTGTGGCCTCGTCCCGGACTGGAGACCGCTATTCGTCGCTCGTTTGCAGGAGGAGTGCTGGGTTGTGCTGGCGGCCCGCTTGCAACTCCTCCTCGAGATTCACATTTCACCTCCTCGGTAGTGTTCAATGGGGGGGCTGCATTTTCAGAGCTAAGAGGATCCTTGCTCTTTAAAGGGGAGGGGAGCTTGGGTGAACTGTCAGCATGATCGGGGCTGCTGCGTTCCTTCTGCAAGGGAGGGAGAGCCTTCATCTCCAGTTTCTCATCCTCCTCTTCATCTGTGTCTGAATCAGAGTCGGACGACTCGTCCTGGCTGCCGTTCTTATCGACAGCCCCGTTCTCTCGGGACACCAGGCTCTCCCCGACTTCCTCTCCCTCTTCTGGCAGAGACGCTGGGTCGCCGTTCTGCCCATCCTCCTCCACGGCCCCCTCTTCCAGGGGCTCAGTCACCATGATTTCGGGCATGGAGGCGGACTGCTGGAGTTTCTGCTCCTTCTCCTCCTTTTCTTTGGCCAGGACGAAGTTGCGCTTGCAGCCATTCTGGATCTCCGTCAGGAGGGCCTTCTGGGTTTCAATAAAGCTCTTTACCTGGAAGGGAGAGGAAGGGAGACAAAAGAATGGCATGACGTGGCACGGGGATAAAAAGACAAGAGGAGCACCGTATATGGTAAAAGACATCTCTCCTGCCCGATTTTACCCCAGGTCTTGGAGCTGATATACACCCATGGGAATGCCGAGTGTTAGCCTTGCCTAAGAGTTGTGCTGCTGATCACAGTGGTTGCAACATGCAACTGGAGTTTGCTATCAGCTTTTTACATCTTGTTTGCTTGTTTATTTGTAGTTTGCATCATTGAAAGAATGTGTTTGTTTGTTTGTTTGACTTTTATACCACTCATCTAGCTTCCAGGGTCACTCTTGGTGGTTTACAATGAAAAAAACCTGATGATAAAAAACAATGGACACAATAACAATCAAATACAAAGCTAGACATCAACTAACATAAACTAGCAACAACGAGAAAACTAAAAAGTAATAGGGGAGTTTAAAAATATTAAACCTAACAACAACGAGTATACAAATACTTAAAAGGATCGAACAAACAGCATACTAGAAAACAGGAGCAACACCAAAACGCATCCAGGGCCGTAAAGTACAAACATCCCTTCAAAAGCTTCACTCAGGCAGCCAGTCATTAAGGGAAAGCATGCCTGAAGAGACAGGTCTTTGCTTGTGTGCGGAAGGACAGCAGAGAAGGGGCCTGCCTGGCCTCCAGCGGGAGGGTGTTCTAGAGTCTGGGAGCAGCCACCGAGAAGGCCCTCTCCCACGCCATTGCTAGTTCTGCCAGCACCAGAGGTCCAGGAGCCCAACCGTTGTCTGGGGACTGAAATGGCCATCTGGGAAATAGTATGGCAAATGAAAGGACTGACTTTGCCTCGTGCCAGCAGAACAGCCTGGAAAGCTTGGGAGCATTTTTCAAAGCAAGCCGTGACCAAAGGTCCACTCGGACCCTGACGGGACCTTTTCTCTTCTTCTCTGATCCCAACTGTAAGTGTGAAGGGACACAGAATGCAAGCCTTCCCAGAGAGAGGGGTGAAGGACTACGCATCACAAGGCTCCTTCGCCTTACAAACATCTGATCTGTAATCTTCCCTTTTCAGAAAATTCCAGCATCGTGCCAATGACGGGGGCCCAACGTGATCAACAGTGAGTGCAAGGTAGGGGAGCACCAAAATGTGACACCCCCACAGTTGTGACCTATGAAACTGGTACGTTGAGCACTGAGCACATAATAAGATCAGACAGCACAGGACACACTGGTGCACGTCTGGAAAGTGGCCCTCCTCCTGTCTCTGCAAAGTCTGCCTTCGAGGACTGAGAAAGAATCTTGCAAAAGCAAAGGGAAAGTGAGGTACAGGCTGGAGATTTTCCTCTGTTGAAACAAACGGCTAGCCTGATTTAACATAAGTTTTATCACCTCTATAAGGAACTCGAGTTCCTTTCTGGGAAAAAAAGGTAGTCGTGTTGCTGGTGGGCTGGGACTGGACTCAGTGGAAGCACCAAAGCAATGCCAGAAAACTGATCTTTTTGTGAAGGGAATGTGAGACGGTGTGTATCAAGGACTCTCGACAAAGCCTTCTGCTACTGGGGTGGAATTGTGTTACTGCTTTATAACCCGGGAGGCTTTTAAAACTCAGCATTTCAAGTGAACACAGACCAGCAATGACACGACACTACAGCTGGGTACTGCAGCCCAGCTAAAGGAGAGGGCCAGAAGTCAAGATTTGATTAGCTTGACACCATTACAGACCCTTGAATTTTCACGTAAAGGAAATGTGTCAGCCTGGAGGTTGGACTAAGGAGGAGGAGGAAGAGCCCAACAGCCCTAAGAATGACACCCCAAACTCCTGCTATGTTTTATGGAACGAATGCAAGAGCCACATTAAAGGATGGTGTAACTGGCGTTCATTGAAGGCCCCCTTCCACTTGTGCTCCACCCCTTTGCCCTTGCTTCTACCTTTTGTGAATTCAGAAAGGCCCCCTTGGCTTAGAAAGACCCTAACCGTGCTCCATCTTTCCTCCACTGGACTCATGATGGGAAATGCAAGGTCCTCCTGCCTGGTGCAGAGAGGGTGCAGAGCGGTTTCATAGTGGTGGTTCTAGTGCAACATGTTCCCCAGTGAAGGGGATGGAGCTCTGGAGAAGCAATGGAACTGTTCAGCAAACTCCCTCTTACAGCCCAACGGAAACGAACAGGGGTATTTGCAACCCAGACTGGACGAGGGTCCATCAAAAGGTGGGACCCCTGTGTCCTTGGATCAGCAAATGCTGCTTCCGCTGCTTGGTGGCGAAGTAAATCAGGCAGATTGGCAGGCCCATAAGTTTTAGCTTCCGCCAGAGAGCCAGAATCTCCCCTCCGTTGGTAAGAAGAGGCCCAGAATGGAACCTGCGCAACCCACCAAACTCATCAGCGGGGACCTACCGATTCCTTCTTGGGCTCCCTGTCGAGGTCCAGCCGCAGCAACGAATGGTTGACCTTCAAGGCCAAGGAGAGGGCCATCAGTCCCCCCGTCTTGATCTCATTCTCCCGGAGGTCCAGCCGGAGCAGGCGGGGACTCTCCGCAATGAATTCGGCAACCGCCACCGCACCTGAGCAAGAGGAGAAATTTGGGAAGTCAGCGGGGATCCCCCTCATTGTAACTCCTCTGCCATCGGGGTGAATGGGTGGGTAGACAGAGGGCTGCCTGACCCAGGGAGACAGCGAGGCCGTCGCTTACCCTCGCACGTCAGCTTCGTCGAAGCCAGGCCCAGCCGAAGCACTGAGCGATTGCTGATGAGCCCGTTCTTCAGGTTGCGGACGCCTTCGTTGCCGATGGGGTTGTGTCCCAGATTCAGGGTCTCCAGGCTCTGTGTGTGAGGCTGACGGGGAAAACGGGAAATTTTGTGGATCATTATATGTTCAGTTCACTCAAAGGACTCAAAGCTCTCCCCCCCACCCCTACTGCAATCTCTCTGTGCAGGAACCGGCCATCTTAAGAAGAACCAACCCCTGATGGGTTGTATCAGAACCACTGGGAGACTGAGATCTGACCTCCACCCTACAGGCTGTTCGGTGCCGGCTCCCAAATCCACAGCCGGGGGCCAAGCAGGTGGCAGAACCAACCAAACCCATAGACAAGGCAAAGGGCAGCTATAAGCCCATGGCTAGTAACTGTTTGTAAAGATAAGCCACTGATTTTTTTTTTAACAAAAACCCCACAAAACTCTGTCCCGTATGTTAATACCACAGAATAAATATACGTAGAAGGAGCCTTCAGAATCTTAACTTACATCTGCAGAGCTGGAAGGGGACCCTTTGGATCACTGGGTCCAGACACTCTCTCTCAAGGAGGCCCCGTGAGGGAAATCGAACTCCCCACCTCGGGCTCCACAAGAGAAATCTAAACTATTTGTGTCAGTCCTGACACTACGATTCGACAGCTTTAGCAAAGGATGAGGAAGGGGAAAGCACTTTGTCCCCTACAATATCTACGTTGAAAGTGTCTTGTCGAAAACACTTTAGCTGTTCCTTGCAGACCGATGCTCCAGCCCAAAGATTATGTTATCCAACATGCTTTTGCAGCTTATGAACATTTCCAGTCACAAACACACATATGCACAACACACTTCCCTAAAACAGGCAGGGAGGGCTAAAAACATGATGAAATTACACCCAACAAGGGACCTTTTCTCATCAGAACTGTTTTTATTTGCAGGGTTTCAGGGGCACAGTGGTTGGAGGATGCTGGTCGGGAGGAGCTCCCTCTGGTCTGCAAGGAAGTGTGTGTCGCTCCGGACTACTACAGATTGGACACACCAGGCTTGGCGCCTGGAAAACTGTTGCTATAAATGGTCTCTCTTTATCCACTGGCTCAGAAACTGGAGAAGAGCATCAAAGCGGAGGAAAAGGGCTGCAGCTCAGACACAGCATGTCTGCTTTCAATGCATAAGGCTCAGGTTTAATCCCTGGCAGCTCTATTTAAGTAATGAGAGAGCAGATGATGAGAAGAACATCCACTCGAGATCCTGAGATCTACTGCCAGTCAAAGAAGACAATACAGATTTATCTGGCCTAATGATCACACAACTCCCTCCAGATGACGCAGCTTCCTATGTATTCCGTTGAAGGGGGGCCGGTAGCATTATGCCCAGATTCCGGTTCTTGGGTCAGAGGAAGACTCACCAGCGTCATCCCCATGTAGGCCATGCCGGTGTGAGTCAGCTGATTATTCCAGAGGACCAGCGTGACAAGGCCTTTGCGCTGCTCCTTCAAGCCCTCGCAGATGTATGCCAGGCCTGTGAACCAAAGAGGAAAAAGCTGAGTCAAGGAGGAGAGGTGGGAGCTGCGTGTGTGCATCAGTCAGCTGCTTTCAGCCCTTCTGACCATCCGCCAGCTCATCGGACACAACGTAAGCACAGGCTGTTCTGAACCCACAAGCGTTGATGAAAAATAGCCCTTTTCTTGTCTCACTCGATGCTGGCCCTTCCCTCTCTGTTTGTCGCTCGCCAGGGCAGCCAAGACGTTTCATGCACTTTGGGGGGCTGGCATCAATTGATTTAAAGCAGGGGTGTCCAACCTTTCACCTTCCCCGGGCCACATTAGAAGATGAAAATTTGGTTTGGGCCACACATAAATTTGGTTTGGGTCGCATGGGGGGGCAGCCCTAGCTGTCCTCCGCAGCCCTGCTCCAAGCGCGCTTACCAGTAGCTGCGATCTCAGACAGCAGAGGCTGCCAGCTTCGACCCCGGTGGCTTTATGGGGCCCGGAGGGGGTCCGCCTATTGATGGGGATGGTGCAATGTAGTCACGCAGCCCCCCTGTCCCCTCCCCTCCCACTCCTTCCTTCCTTTCCTCTCTCCCCTTCTACTGTTGTGACATGCCCCGGCCACATTCCGGCTGCAAGTGGCGGCAGTGTAACTTGAAACTTTGGAATTTCTTTTAAAATAAAAAATTGCACTGGGCCGCATTATGAGCTGACCTGGGCCACATGCGGCCCTCGGG